GTCTGGAACAACTTTTGGGAGAAGTCTTGGGATTTAGACTTGGGAAACATACTGTGTTGAACCGATCAATACACATGACATGAGCGGATAGTACTATACTACTATGTGAAAGGCATACAAGTGAGTCTGAGAAAGATAATTACCAGGCTTCATCTAGAAGTGAAATAATTCCTCCTGGTTTCTGATTGAACATGCAATTTTAAAATAAGAAAGGGAAAGCATAACATAGTTGTGTAATAAACAAGATCTCTGCTCTCAGACCTAAATATGCTGTCATCAAGCAATCAAATATCACAAACTGAAAATTGTAAATCTGTTAAATTATAAGAAAGGAGAAACATACTTTTTCAATTAAATCGAGAACATCTTGATTATCAATAAACTCTATGTAACTCCAATCGATCTCTTCTTTGGTATACTCTTCCTGCTCCATCTTGAAAACATGCTGCAAAAAAAATGATACCAGAATAAGTCATATCTCCTTATCAAAAACCAAAAGGGCTAATTGATTAAGGATATACAAAAACGCTAACCTGATTAAAATGTTGTTGCAATTTTTCATTCGTGAAATTGATGCAAAATTGCTCAAAACTGTATCATAGGCCGAACATAAAATCAGCAACAACTTCAATAATTGATAAATCTACTAACTTTCCACGTTTAGCAATTTCCTTCCAACATATTGATAGACATTATATGAACTATATGTAACACCCACTTAGTACCACAAAACTTCACAGCTCTAGTAATTCTATTAAATGGCAGATGATGACAAGGAATTATTTCTTTAAACTTATCTAAACATATCTAAACTGGTCATCGCTACACTCTTGGAATGAAATGGGGTAAATGTGAAAGCAAATGATGTTTTACATAAAACACTACCTATTGCATTTGAAACTTTCAAACCCATAGATATCCAAAACTCCAATAATTGACTTTGACCTTGGGTCCTGCCCGATGGAAGTATTAATTTTGTTCACAATCCTGTAGATAACAGGATACAATGTATTATGAAATATATAAAAATATAAATGAAAAGCAGGAAATTGGAAGAGGGCGTTTGCTTGAATAGCTTCACCAGTCAAACAAGTGAGAATATATTGTCTTGGCCAGGGTATCCCGACTAGCAATTGCATCGTCGGGATTAAGGGTTCTCGTGATAATCTCGTCAGGTGTAACCATCACACGCCTAATAAGAGCATCTTCTAGGCTCTGGGCGTCACACCTACCAAAACAAGTGCACAATATAGAGAATAAACAAGTCACAACAGTTTCAAATATAGTAAGAAAAAGAAGTAGCATACATAAGTAGCTCTGCCGCCAAGTTAAGATGACGTCCGGATTCTTCATCCTTGACGACCGAGGAATCAATAGCTTCCCCTTTTCCAAAATTAATGTTACCAAGATGAAGAATCGCAGCAACCACCCTGAAGATTGCCTCCTGTAAATATTGCTTTAAATGTCAGACTCTAACATGAAAGTAGTGGAACAGAAACCTAACCTCTTTAACACATCAATTTGAGGACCTGTTCATCATTACTGATTCCAACTACATCCATAGCTTTTCTTGTTTCAAGGTATTCGCTAGCATCATCAATACCATCCAGTTTATAACAATTTGACTGATTCAGATAATGGAATGACTGTGGGTTTTTCAGCTGGTACTTCTCTATATCCTGGAAAATAACCAAGAAATTAGAAATAAAGTGTATGATATTGGCATGGGGTAAACATGCACATAATGTGCCAGTTACCAAAAAAAGTTATATGATACCTCTGGCGGAGCAGCACAAAGAAGATAAAAGCAATGGTAGTTTCTTTCGGGATCTGAGATTTGGCAAACACGGGATCTCTCCAGCAGATAAGTCCTAATAGCTGCCCCAGATATCCTTCCATTCTTGTCAAATTGGATTTCAACAAATTTACCAAAACGACTGCGAGGTGGTGCCATCAAGAAGAATGAAAATGGGCAAACAATCATGAGAACAAGTTTTCTTAAGGCACAACAAGAAGAATTATAAAAACATTTTAAAATCTAAGGAACCAAGCATTTAACAATTAATTCTAGTAATAAAGTGGTTACTAATTAATGAACTTAGCTGATAAAAACCAAATTTGGAAAGATGGAGAATGCACCTTGAATTGTTGTTTCGTAAAGTTTTTGCATTGCCAAATGCTTCAAGAACCGGATTGGACTGCAATATATCAAGTGGGGAAATAAGCATTAAGTTGCATACAACAACCATAAATGGAACAATCCTCATTAAAACATGAAAGTTAAAACAAACCTCTAAGACTTGCTGTTCAACTGTCCTTCCTTCTACACCAGACCTCCCACCCAAAAAGGCAAGGTACCTCATGAGCATCTTTGTCGTCTCAGTCTTACCAGCACCACTTTCGCCACTTACCAAAATCGAATTACTTTTGCCTTCATTAATCATCGCCCTAATATCTTACACATGACTAAATCAGCAAATTATCTCACAAAACAAATAGAAGTATGATAAAAGATTGATGTAAACATGCACAAACCTATATGCAGCATCCCCGATTGCAAAAACATGAGGACTTAGTTCTCCGAGTGCTACTCTCTTATATTGTTCCATCATATCCGTTTCATAAATATGAGGCAGCCTTTGGAATGGATTAACTGCAATTAGGATATTCCCTGTATAGGTCTACAGAAGTAACAAAAAAGTTATTAGTATCATAGCTTATGTCAAATGATTACCGTGCAGCCACAAAAAGTATGAGATGCTAGAAAAAAGGTAAAATATCTTACGTAGATTTCATTGAGTTCATATCTTGTCCCTAGGTTTTGTAAGACTCCAGGCTCATGCAAGTATGAAAGTTTTGTCATGTCATCTACACCTCCAGGTGGAACTTCAGTATCCTTGGGAAAATATACATTCGTCACAACCTGAAATCCATATGACATAGGAACATGTGAGGAGAACAATGGCCAACAAGGAAGTGCGAACATTTAGACTTGAGATCAAAGAAGTTATCATGAAAATATATAGTGGGCAAGGACGTATAAAATGACAAGATAAATCATGGTTTTAGGTGGGTCATGCTGCATCTTAGCACATTAAAGCTGTATCCCTATAAAGTGTAAAGGTTTGAATAGAAATAGGTCTCACAACAGATGAAGAAAACTGTCAAATAGAAAGCCTGCAAACTTCATAGTCTCTACTCCATATTTCTGAGTATACACTTGCCTTTAGACATTCAGTGAATACCAGAAACTTTCTTTATCGGTCGTTTAATCTATTTATTATTGTTACATGGTTTGATCAAAACACTAAAAGCAAAAAAAACCTACATCTATTTAAAATGCATAAGGTAAAAACCTGACGAAATGGGGTTATTATATATAAAGGATTACGACAGTATCCCATAGCAAGATCAAACATAAGAATAATCAATCGAGGTGTAAATTGATCAGCTCAAATATTCCAAAATGTATGAGGTGGTTGATTCAAGTAACAATAGTAAAGGGTATAATCGTATAGAAGCTTACGGTTTTCCCCTGATTAGTTTTGACATGAATGTTATCACCATGAATTCGAGTAACCTGTCCATCAATCCATGCCAAATGTGGATCTTCAACCCAGACATGTGAGCCCACAGTAATGACTGGAGCAGCCTGCGAACATTGCATTGCATTAAAAACAAACATCAACAACACTGCCTCCAAGAATTAACGGGTTCAAGGGAAACATAAATCAGCTCTAGGGAAAAAAATAGATGAAAACGAGATAAGCAAGCTGCTCGAAGAACCGAGCTGGAAGGACATAGTCAATCCAAAACATCGCAGAAGTAAAAAACAATCATAAAGGAAAACCAAAAAGGTAAGCAAACCACAACAACAACAACAACAGCAGCATTAACGAAAGAAGCAAGCAAGTTGGGTTTTCAATTGGGAAATATATATATCAAAACAAAGAAGCGAGAAAGGGGAATGAGGATACATTTGAATTTTTACCATTTTTAAAAAACCAAAAAAAGCAAAAACGCAGATGGAGGAGATTGGGAGCAGAAAAATCTCTACTTGGGAGTGATAAAGTCAACGAATTTTCTCCAGAAATCACTGGAAAGGAAAAGCCCTTTTCTTCTCCGGTGAGAATCTCTCTCTTTGGTGTGTGTGTGTGTGTGGTTTTTTTGTTGTTGCGGTGGAGAGAGTTTCAAAATAAAGGAGAAGCGTTTCGTTTGATTTTTGTTTGAATGGAGCTCCGATTGAATTAAAAGGATGAAGCTATTTGGGTCTCTCTCTCTCTCTTATTACTTTGTCTATTGGCTGATGTGGATACTAGTGGGTCCCACCGCTCGTTTCAAAATGGACGGCATCGCTTAACTGTACGTTTTTTTTGCTTCTCCTTTTTAATATTCTTTTAAATTAAGGAAATTTTCACAACATTAAGAAAATCTAGATTTGGTCATCTATGTGCTTCAACACCAAATCTATTAAGAAAGGAAAAAAAAAAAGTGGGAAATAAATGTTAATTTTTTTAGGTGACCAAAAAAACAAAAAAAAAATGTTTATTCTTTCGAAGACCATCATTCTCTTATTTTATTTTATTTTTGTGTATATTTTGATTATGACTATAGAATTTATATTAGGTAAAGAAATGTTAAATGTGGAAAATAAAGTTGTACCCCCCCCCCTCCCATGGTTTTAAAATGTAAAGATAAGAAAATGTATATATTTGCTTTGTTAAATAAAAATTTTAAGTAAATGGCCATCTATATTAATTTGAGATGAATTTTTTAAAAAACAAAAACAAAAACGTGAGCGGCAGGATTCGAACCTGCGCGGGCAAAGCCCACATGATTTCTAGTCATGCCCGATAACCACTCCGGCACGCCCACTTTTTCATAGCGTCATCGCTTTTTTAATATATTGTAAGTAACTTGACACTACACAAGCCATTGATGATGATCTGCGAGCTCTCTCTAGTTAAACCCTAAACTTCTTACATTTGTGCATTCGTACGGATTCATACACTCTCAGATCCTGCCTGAGTCATTACGGCTGAAACCTCTAAACTGCAGAAATGGCTGCTGCTTTAGCTTCCAGAGTCACCCGAGGTTCGTTTTCCACCTCCTACGCTTCGTTTAGTCCCAATTCTTTTTGTTTCTCTTTACATTATTATATATTTATATTTGATAAAGTTTACTTCTTTCAATAAAATATGTGCTCCATACTCTTTGATCTTATTCAACACTGATTATTACGAACCGTGTGGGAGTTTAAAGATGTTTTGAAATGATACTAAATCTTCTACACTCTAATGAGTCACAAAAAAAAAAAATCCAATCTTTGAGAAGATATTTGTGTCGTTCAATTTGTAATCGCTTTGAGTCATGATCTTTGCTTGGTTCATGAAATGCAGACTCAAGATTATTACTCTTTTTGTTCTTGTTGTTGATGTTACTAACTCATGCTCAACTCTTTTCTCTTTTGATTCGATTCAATCGACTATATGAGCAGGACGTTCATTGATTGGAAGTCTTAGCAATGCTTTCTCTGGTTTGATGAATTCCTCCATTGGAATGATGGATGGAAACATCCTCTCTCAGGTCAAGCCTCTTCAGGATATATTTTTGCCAAAATATCTTACCTTTATGAAACTTTCTTCTTGTACGTACATATATAGAGCAGAGACACTGTGAATTGTCCTGATGATTTCCAATTTAACAGCAACAGCAAAGGACTTTCATTCAAATGGGGACGATTCTCAAAGCCGTGGATAACTCTGGTGCAAAAGAGGTGATGTGCATTCAATCCCTTAAAGGTAAGAAAGGAGCAAGACTTGGCGATATCATTATTGGTTCCGTGAAAGAGGCCATACCAAAAGGTAAAGTGAAGAAAGGGAAGGTCGTGTATGGTGTCGTTGTGCGTGCTGCAATGCAGAAAGGGCGCGTTGATGGGAGCCAAGTCAGGTTTGATGACAATGCGGTTGTAATTGTGGGCTTTAAGGAAAAGAAGAATCCCGATGGTTCCAAGAATAAAGTGGAGTATAACCAACCCACTGGTACCCGAGTGTTTGGTCCTGTCCCACACGAGATGCGGCTCAGACAACAGCTCAAGATCCTTACTTTGGCTCAGCACATCGTTTGAAAGCTTACACCATACTAAAAACATCAGATTATGATCTCTTCATGTGACCCTTATCCATTCATTACTTAGGTTTCTGCTTGATTACTGAAACTCTTTAGCTTCTTTATTTTTAAGACTTCACAGGCCTTATCCAATCAATTATGATTACTTATTCGCTATGTTTTCTAAATAAGTTTACAGAACAGTTGAGTAACTAATCTTACTTTTTGCAAAACAACAGATATCAGAAAGTAGTTACTCTTTCACAGCAAGTATATGAAAAGAAGAGAATATATTACAGAAAAGTATTAAGGTTAATGCGACATACAATTCAATTACAATTCCATACGCCACATCTCCAATATTACAACATATATCCACCTACTCTTTATAAGAGATCCCAAGATATAAATGATCAAAAGAAACACTTCTTCTCTATCCTTCTTATACATAACAAACATACACATTCAAGTCCATGAGAAAAAGGAATGGACTTTTTAGCTATGCATCATCAAGTCTTAATTCTTCTTCCCCCAACATTTCGCTTCTTATTTTTATGTAAACTTGTGGAAACATTAAAAAAAAAATATAAGAAATAATAAAATTATAGTAGTGTAAGAACTCGAGCGTACACTGTGTTTCAAGATCTGGTCTTGAACTTTCTTTGAGCTTTCAAGTCGACCACTATTATTGAGATATTGTCTTTGCTTCCTTTTTGAAGAGCGAGTTTGGACAGATATTCAGCCGCTGCTTGACACGCATGGTCTTCCCCGACACCTCTCTCAGCTAAAGGCAATGCTCCATTCTTCTTGTGCCAAGCCAATATCCGCTTCCTTGCAAAATCGCAAGCTTCTTGGTTGCTCATGACGTCCCAAAGTCCATCACTAGCCAATATAAGACACTCGTCTTCTCTAGCTCGTGGCATAAACATCACTTCAGGATCTGGTATTACATATGGCTCCAGATATTCATCACCTGAAAACCAAAAGCAGATTGAAACCCATTCTGAGGAAATCTACTAATTGTGCGGAGACTGTAACAGTCATGATCCTCATCTTTAAATTAAGGTTACTGAATGTTCAATTTATCGACAATTTTGACCTATAACTCTCTTTCTGTCACCGAGTATAATGTGGGTTTGACCTACCAATGGACCTGGACATGGCAAGAACACCAGAAACACGAGCGCCTTGCCATTGTATAACCTTTCCTCCAGCTTTTTCTATTCTTGCATACTCATCCTCTCTATCTGGCTGCAGAAAGAGAGTAGGATGTTTCATAAATGAGAAGTTAGCAACTTTCTCAGATGTGTTAAATTATCTATTAACAGAAAGAGATGAAGTTTTACTTTGTGGTCAACTGACAAAGGCATGGAGTCTTTGCCTCGGAGTAAAACCGCTCTTGAGTCACCACAGTTTGAGACTATTATATGCGATGAACAAACCAAAGCAACCACAGCTGTTGATCCGACAGTTTCAGGGGAAACAGCTTCAAGAACCATTCTATCAGAAGAACCAACAACTGGTCTGTTGATTTTCCCTTTAACCTCATTATCGACCTTTAGGTAACAATCTACAAAGACTTTCTCCCACTGGACCTGCCTACCCTCGCCAGTGTTCCTCCTACACAATTCATCTTTAATCCGTTCGACTTCTTCAGCCAAAGCAAAGTGGATTCTATCATGACAATAGTCAGCAACCTGCAAGAATCCCATTTCCACCAAAGCCGTCATATATTACATAACAACCTGCAAAGAATCCCGTTTCCAGCAAACCCTTATCATATATACATACAACCTATGGCAACAAGACATAAATTCATTTATACATACAACCTATGGCAACAAGACATAAATTCATTTATACATACAACCTATGGCAACAAGACATAAATTCATTTATCTCCCAGGTTCACAGTTGAATTAACGCTTTATTGCTAATATCAATATAAGGAATTACAAACTACAGTACCTGGGCGCCTCCATGGCCATCATATACACCAAAGAAGTGGCTAGTGAGATATGGGAGACTTGGACTCATCCCTTCATGATCCCCCATAAGCATTTTGATGGGTATTTTCAAAAAATGAGGTAAAGCTTTAACAGCATCCTCCATTTCAGATCTTCCACCGCAAATTGAAACTGTGCCCCAAAGAGGTATACACTCTAGTTCATAGACACTCCTGCTTCCTCTTGCTACATTAAGATTTTCTCCAGGCAACCTAATGACTACCTCCGAAGTTGCCACCTCCATATTCACGTCGTGAGTCAGACTTGCAATAAGGACTTCAGCTGTGGGAACCTGTTCTATGGTGGTCTCGTTAAGGATAATCGCAGTAGCAAGAACACGTCCGTTATCTGTTTCAACTGTATCTGGCAAGCTTATCTCAGACCTAGCGTCCACAACTATTAAACCCTCGCTTATAATAGTCGCATCAGATACTAATGGCTCGTCTTCTTCTGATTCTTGGACAGTTACACTAAAATCAGAAGACAAGCTTCTCACTTCAGATAAAGTTTTCTCTTGTGGTTCTTCTGAAGGATGTTCCAACAAACAATCAACCACTCCATTACAATATCTTTGCCTTTTGTGATCACACAGCATGTCAACTGCATCGGTAACATTCTCCAGCTCGGAAATATCTACAGAAGAAGAGATTCCTGAGTCACACATGGTGTTGGCTAAACTCAAAGTCAGTGCAACCGCCGGTGCAATCTCTTCCATGAGTTGCTTAAGCTGCTTCCACACCTCTAACGACTACAAACAGAGCTAAGTGATTCAATAAATTCCATCTCCTACTCTAAGCTATGGTCTGATGACGATCTTTAGTGATACTACATCCAATTCAGCTATCCACTGTAACCCAACCGGCGTTATTCCGACACTAACTAAAGCACGGAGTAGTGAATCAAGAAGAAGTGGGTACCTCCGGTGAACAGATCTGACGGATCTACGCGACGGATCCCTCTGCAAATTTGATCACTCTCTACGATCCTCTATAACTATTGATGAATCAGAAGGAAAAGACACTCAATAATCTCACACCAGCACAAATTTAGAAACCCCCAAAATTGATCAAAAACATGTTTTTACTCATAGAGAAATCACAAGAGAGAGAGAGTAAGACACAAAGCTCAAAACTTGAAGCAAAAACAGAAACAAAAGTCAGGTGAAACAGAAGAAGAGCAAGGACAAGAAACAGAGAGGATTGATAAGAATCAGAGACATATATGAATCACATACACACAAAAGAAAAGAACCTAAAAAGTTGAAGCCTTTATCTTTATCTTTCCAAAACGAAACATGGGTTCTCCTGGTGGATCTCAATGGTTTTTTCTTTTTTTTTTTACCCAACCCAAAAAAGATAAAACAGATTTTTCTTTTCTTTTTTTTATTATTATAAGCTCTCTCTCTCTCTCTACGGAATCCCAAGTTCTTTATGTGACCACGACCTCTATATTATTAACACGTTGATCCAATCAGTTATTTTAATTAATTAATTAATCTTTCTTTTATTCAGTAATGGCAAGATTGGTGCCGCGTGTCCTTTCCTCTTTTAAAGGTCAAGTCTTCTTCTGTTTTTATATCTTTTTAATTTTTATAAAAGACTTCTTCTTCTCAATACAAGTAAGTTACAAGTTACAGCAACTCTAGTTTATTGGGTTTAGTACTGCTATCTTTATATATGATACACGTATGTATATATTGTTACACTTGTGGGTTTCCATCATCATATTATTGCTTTTTTAGAGGAATTCAAATGTTTAGAAGAAGATGTATGTATGTTAAAAAGATCCTATCGTTTTTTACGTTTGGATCCAGTTTCATGCCCACTTCTCTCTATACAAGAAAAGTCAACAGAAAAACAACTTAAGACTTTTCTCGCCGACCAAAGTCTTAAATGGGCTCAGTGCAACCTTTCCTGGTCAGTCACTTTATATGAGCTTGAGAGCAGAGAGAGAGAGAGCAGTGATGATTCTGTTTCCTGGGTACTAATTTTATCTCATCTGATGTTATAAGACAATGTCTCGATCATCACTGGCAATAGTCAGCAACCGAGGCTCTTTTAAAAGCTTATAGTATAAATTTTAGCATGGCAATAGTCAGCTAGAATACATACGCACTCAAGGCTCTTTTAAAAGCTTATATAGTATAAAATTTATTTTGCATTTAAACTATCAGTTGACACTTGACAGTGTAAACATTCTTGTGACTGATTGAGTCGTTCCACTGAATGCTTTTTATCACTTTAATCGCTCCCAAGTATTTGTTTTTTTTTTTAAAAAGCTTTAATAGTTGTTATAGCGTCCACTTGTTTCAAGATCTGGTCTTCAACTTTCTCTGGGCTTTCAAGTCGACCACTATGATCGAGACATTGTCTTTGCTTCCCTTCCGAAGAGAGTTTCGAGAGATAAGCAGCTGCGGCTTGGCACGCCTGGTCTGCCTCTACACCTCTCACAGCTAAAGGAAAGGCTTCATTCTTCCGTTTCCTTGCTAACTCGCAAGCTTCTTGGTTGCTCATTACGTCCCAGAGTCCATCACTCGCTAATATTAGACATTCGTCTTCTCTTGCTCGTGCCATAAACATCACTTGGGGATCTGGTATTACATATGGCTCTAGATATTCATCACCTGAAAGTCAAAAAGGCAGGTTGATATAATAGGTAATGAATATACGATACTAAATATTCTGGCATATACAACTCTCTTAAGATTTCTGTCCCTGAACAGGATTGAAGACAAATCTGCAACTACTTCAACTACTTTTCTTGTTGTACTAATGACTTGTGTTGTTGGGACCTCATCCTGCAGGATAATCGCCGTAGCAAGAACTTGCACATGATCCACTTTCATTAAACTCTCGCTACTTCTTATATATATAGACACGTCAAGTACCTTTTCCTAGATACAGTTAGTTATTACTACCAAGAGACAGACAATGTTTTCTCCTCTGAAACATGTTTCCATCCATCATATACTATTTATACATCTTTGGTTTCCATAAAAATATCCAAGGTTCTCACAGCGACACAAAAGACAAAAAAGCCTAAAAGATCCAACTCTTTTTCCTTTTCAAAACCCGAACAGGTTGCCTCGATCTAGTGGTTTACCCAAATACAAAGTTAAATTCTTTTAATGTAGATTATATCTCTTTATATAAAACTTATTCACGTTTAATCCGTACGTAATTGCTTCCATTTGATCTGAAAAGTTCATTCATGGCATATCGATTCCTAGAAACTAATAGTATTATTTGAGAAGAATATACTGTATATATGTAATAAATCATCAAATTCAGTATAACAATACTACAAGTAATTACAACCGACCAGTAATATTTGTTTTTATAATTATTACTGCATGGTTGCAGAACGGAGGGAGTATAAAACAAGTTATTATTTCATGCATGTCATCGTCATGTATACAGGAAAAGATTCAGACGAATGTACTTCTGATCATCACAAATGTACACACTCGCCGATGATTATTAAAAAGTCGGTCCAATCAATTACTTTAAAACTTGTTTGGATTCCAAATCAATCTCCCTAGTTTACAAATTACAATTTACAAGATATGAGATGGCAGTTCCAAAAAGAAAAAAAAAAAACTTTGTAAAGATAAGTCATCAAATAAAAGACTGGTAAATTGCTGGAAAAAGATATAGCTGCTAAATTTAGCAAAGTGCAAATACCTATTATAAGGTTTGAATTTTGTCAAACAAACAAAAAAAAAAACAGTTGAAATCTGTTTCCTCTCCTCTCTTCTAAATTTCTTTACCATTTTGTCATTTTATCAATAGGTCTCCTCTCCTTCTGAGGGTAAAAGGCCACAAATCTTTCTAGTTTCTCGAGAGATTATCATCTCGAGAGCTGAGGAAGATGGCTGCAAGGAGGTTTAAAGGGAAAGACAACAAACCAGTTACCGTCATTGCCATTGATAAAGATAAAAACAGCCAACACGCTTTGAAATGGGCTGTCGATAACATCATCGCCAATTCTCCAAACTGTATCCTTCTCCATGTTCAAACCAAATTGAGTAATGGGCATTTTGTTATCATCATCTATATATAATACCATCATCACCACCACCATAATCCAATAAAAATAAATCTAATGAAATGGGATTATAACAGGAATTGGTGTAGGAGAGAACACAGAGGCTCCACATGACAACCAGGACGAGGCGCACCAGTTCTTCCTTCCCTTTAGAGGATTTTGTGCTCGGAAAGGAGTCAGACAATTAATCTCTCTTCCTATTTACAATATATATATAATCACTCACATATATGAATATCTATAACTCCTGACCTCATTATATATATGTATGCTCTCTCAGATTATAGCAACTGAGGTTCTTCTTCACGATATTGACATCTCGAGTGCAATTGTTGACTATGTCACCAACAATTCTATTGCAAATATAGTCCTCGGAGCCACTGCACGAAATTCCTTCCTCAAGTCTCTATCTTTCTCTCCTTTATAATCAGATAACTGTTTCATCTCAAAATTCGGTTCCATGAATGGCCTAAAACTTTTATGTTATGTGGTCTTAATTAATCAGGAAGTTTAAGGGCGTTGATGTGCCAACCGCACTTCTTAAAACAGCTCCAGATACATGTGCTGTCTTTATTGTGTCTAAAGGTAAGCTCATAACTAGCAGATCAGCGAGTCGACCTCATACACCTCAAGCTCCTCAACACTCTCCCCCTACTTCAAAACAACCTGCAATGATGTCTGATCCTGGCCGTACAAGTTTTACTTCCAGTGATTCCGGAAGGTAATTAACATCAAGTTTTCATCCGCTTCTGTCTCGTGAATCATTGTGCGTTTTATACTTCACAGGAATCATTGGTTTTGCTATTCTCGCAGGTCGTCTCCTACGATAAATGGGTCTTTTTCGCCACCTATACCTCACTACAAGCCAGATTTTAATAGGAGTCCTCTCTCAGAGCTTAGCAATGAATTTTCTCCCAGCGGCCACAGTTCTGAATCAAATGCTAGTTTCTACAGCATCCTAGGACGATCCACCTATGGAGGAAGCTCACATTCTTCCGCATCCATGGTTAGTAGTATCCATATCACGTTTCAAATTGACGTTCTTGCCTCCAATTTTACTGGCCTTTTACGTTTTCTTTTGAATCTGTAGTCTGAAATGACTGATGGAGAGGAAAGCGTATATGGGGTAAATATCACTGACCACCAGGTATATTAATGTTTTAAGAACATACAATTGATGTTTTCGGGTATACAGAATGTCAAGTGCATGGTTCTGACATGTTTGTTTTCTTTGTGCATGAATATGCTCAGAGTCAAAATCTTGAAGCAGAGGTGAGAAGATTGAGACTCGAATTGAAACAATTTAATGCTTCCATGTGTAGAGAAAGTGTAAGTTACTTGCTTCCCTGTTAGACGGCCGAGAATGTTTCCTTGAAAAGGTCCCAATATGAGTGACTTACATCAGACATTGAATGAATGCTTGCAGGCCCCTCATCTTCATGGACCTAGAGCTACCGTCGAAACTCAAAAGCTGGAGGAATCAAAGGCAGCAAGAGAGATGCTTAGGGCATTGTCTGAGATGGACAAGCAAAAAACACAGAGTGCGATCCAAGCAGCTGAAATGGCACAACGTCTAGCGGAAATGGAGACCCAGAAGAGAAGACTTGTGGAGATGCAGGCCAAGTTCAAAGAACAGAAGATGGCCAGTAGTATATCCTACAGACGATATAACATAAAAGATGTTGAAACTGCTACAGACGGATTTTCAGATACTCTAAAGATTGGGGAAGGAGGGTATGGACCCGTGTATAAAGCCGTTCTTGAAAACACTTCTGTTGCCATCAAAATCTTAAAGTCAGATGTCTCACAAGGCCTGAAACAGTTCAACCAAGAAGTAATAATATAATCTGATACTATCCTAATATATTGCATATCATGTCCATACTAATTTACATTTGTTTTCCTCACCAGATCGAGGTTCTAAGTTGCATGAGGCACCCTAACATGGTGATCCTCCTCGGTGCTTGTCCCGAGTATGGTTGCCTTGTGTATGAGTACATGGAAAATGGAACACTAGAAGATCGTCTTTTCTGCAAAGATAATACTCCACCATTATCTTGGAGAGCACGGTTCAGAATTGCTGCTGAGATTGCTACAGGACTACTTTTCCTTCACCAGGCCAAACCCGAGCCACTAGTACATCGAGATCTGAAGCCAGCAAACATTCTGCTAGACAGACATTTAATTAGCAAAATCAGTGATGTTGGTTTAGCTCGGTTGGTACCTCCCGCTATTGCTGATAGCTTCAGCCATTATCACATGACTGCTGCAGCTGGTAATACTTTCATTTTACCTTAAACCAAACAAATCTAATCTTTCCATCTCCTTTTGGTGTCCTAACATGTATCCAATCGCTGAAATAGGTACATTTTGTTATATCGACCCCGAGTATCAGCAAACAGGAATGCTTGGAGTGAAGTCGGACTTGTACTCATTTGGTGTGGTGCTTCTGCAAATCATCACAGCGATGCCAGCAATGGGTTTAAGCCATAGAGTAGAGAAAGCAATTGAGAAGAATAGACTAAGAGAAATTTTGGATCCCAAAGTATCAGACTGGCCTGAAGAAGAGACTCTGGTGCTAGCTCAATTGGCTTTGCAGTGCTGCGAGCTGCGAAAGAAAGACAGACCTGATCTTGCTTCTGTTCTGCTGCCTGCACTGAGCAAACTACGAGAGTTTGCAACGGAGGATCATGAAGTACGTAACTCTGATAGAATATTTTCTGTGTCACGTGCTCACAATTCGGTTCCTCTTTCCCCAATATCTCCCTCTCAGGTTGGTTTCTTAGAACCTGCAGTAATACATTTCTAATTTTCATATTGTTAAGGAATAGGTTGCAACTTCTTTGATTTCTTAGTCTCTATTTTAATCTTGTGGACAGAGGATGCATTGAGAACACCCTATTGATAAAACATTGGAATTTTGGCGTTGAACAAAATGAAGCTACATTGGCTATCTCTAAGAGCTGCGATGAACTTGTTCAGTTTAAGCATCTGATGTCATCTCATACATATCAGATCATAAACCAGCCAATGCGAATAAGGTTGTTGTCAGTCTCTCATGGTTTGTACTCCACCCAAAAGTTCAATGTTGCTCTTCCATAGTGTCGAAGTTCCTATTTTGTATATCAAACACTTTATTTTTTTTTTGTCTCTTGAAAAGAAACACCTTTCTTATAGAAGAGCTGTCTAGCCCTTGGAAAATCAACTCACCTCTGCGCAAGAGCATTCCATCTGCAGCACAATAAAATAATATCTAAGATACAGAAATTTCAAAGCATCTTATTTGAACATAAGTTTTGATGCAAGAAGTCACACACAAATTGTTTTATTTTAACACAAGAATTAAGGGAATACATGTTAGAGCTACACCAACAATGTTAGCAGACAAGGCACTTTGTTAATTTGAGACAAGACCGGCTTAGACTTAACACAACATCCAACAAAAATTTACTTGATGAGACTTGAGAGACAAAGAGCAGAAGTTCACAACAGATCCACATTATATAATGAAAAATGTTGTTGAAGTCGTTACCTAGAGAAATTTCAGAGATGAGACGTAAAACTACAACAAAAAGTGCAGCAATATAAGAAAACAAAGAAAACTAAGGATCATGTGTGATACTCGCACATTCTATATCGATGAAAAATCAGAGACAATAAAAGAGGTCCAAGCTAGAAAAGCCAAAAGCTCATAAGTGGTAGTAGAAATTAGATGGTCAAGGTCAACTAACGCATGAGCCCTCAACACTGGTGAATAACACAACGCACAATCCTATAGTGTGAATAGTGTACTATAACTCTTACAAAATGATTAAAGTAAAGGAAAGGAGAATGAAAGCCATTTCACTTCTTAGCCAGTCTGATAACAACATACACGCTTTCTGAACCAAGAGACAAAGGGGAACAACATAAAACGAAAGCTAGAATGATCATAAGCAAGCACTCATGGAGATTCGACCACCAAACGGTAAAACCTTTATTGATATAAATTGTATAAATAAAGGTTCGCATGTTAACTTTTGTTATATGAAAACCAGAATTCTACCCTAGAAACTCCTAAAAAATCTGGTTTTTATGATTTCCCCAATACATGTACTTCTAGATCACTCCGGTGCTTCATATGTGAGCACCAGCCACATCTGCAGATCTCATTCCTCGTGCTGCCTATAGACCGCACCGGTTCCGAGACATCATTCTTATCACTTTACCGCCACCACACCACTTTCAATTCCTGCGTAGATCAACCCAACCACTCCAATCCTATTACCCCAAGTGCGACCTGCCTGACCAGACGAATTCAAAATCCTGTTGATTTTCAGCTTAGTCGTGTCTCCATTTTCAAAGCTCCTCATACCGGAGAAGAACCCAGCTGTAGAGCTTGCTACAGAGCCGTCGAGATAACATATCCCTGTGTAAAACGTGAGATTTTCTGCCCATGATCGACGCTGTTTGAGGGACTCTTCCGTGAAGAGCAATTCTGGAAAAGTAGGGAGCTTGTAAAGATACTTAGCTTTGATCGGGATTTGGTAATTTTTGGTCGGACCCCATTCAGAGAAGAAAGAGAATTTAGGAGTGGTGGCAACAGCGAAGGAATCGACGTAGTGAGAGATGAAATTATTCTGATGTGTTGCAGAATTAGAAAGGAGACATTTTCAGGACTGATAAGATTTTGTGCTTGATTCGAATTTGACCCCTAATGTTTTATTTATAATAATTTAACCCAAAAATTGTCCCCAGTAAAAGTCTTTTCCAATTTCGACACTATAGTTTTCAAACTTTTACATAATATGTTACCTAAATTGTGAATTTTACCGGAACAACCACTTTGTAAGTTGATCTCTTCACATATATATAAATATAAAGATTTTATTTGGAATTGGAAATAATATTGAATAAATAAAATAAAAAAAGCCATAGTTTTTGAGGACAAGCCCGGCCGAAGAGTCGGCGGCGAGACGTTCCTTTGTCACCGATAATACTTGATTGTGATAGACACAAACGAAGAGAAACGGAGCCAGGAGGCGATAACAGAAGCATAGAGATGGGAAACCAGAAGCTTAAATGGACGGCGGAGGAAGAGGAGGCGTTACTCGCCGGAGTTGGAAAGCACGGTCCCGGAAAGTGGAAGAATATTCTCCGCGATCCCCAATTCGCTGATCAGCTCTCTAATCGCTCCAACATCGACCTCAAGGTTTTTATTATCTTCTTCTCAAATTACTTCTTTTTACTGGTGTTGTTGAAACACGGCAAACCCTAATTATTGAGTTTAAATCCCAACGGGAATGACCAATTAGACTTTCAGGAGTTGAAATTTGAAATTTTTGGTTGATACAATCTTCTCCCGATGCTTTGGTTTGAGAACATTTCCCCGACTATGTTACCAATGATGACCTATATCTATCTGGGTTAGGAGTTGAAGTGTGATGTGTTACTTCTAATATTGATCTTTGACTATTAGTTTCCTGAAGAAAGATGATAATTTGTAACGTTTTCTTGAGTCGAGTTTCGCTAGACTGGATAGTTTGTCTTTCTTCTCTAGTTTTCACCTGCGAGAAGGTCTTGATATTACCTGCCATCTAGCTGCTTGATTCACTATTATGGCTGTATATGATACTCGCTAAGAAATTGACAGAAACTGTGTTCTTTTTTATTTTTGTTTTTAATCAAATGCAATGCAAGTAATGCTGCAAAACATTTGTCTTAACCTCTAGTTATGGTAGCACCATGAAAATTTGAAACTTAAGGTTTAAAACAGGTAATTGGTATCCTTTTTAACTCTTTTCTGATTTTAGTTAGGAGAACCAGTTTTAGTTGATCACTGTCTATGATGGCTTTTGCCTAGGTCATAAGATCTGTTTGAAAATCGAGATAGGAACTCATATCAAACCCAAGTATTGTTTAATATGAACTTTGAGGTTAAAATCTGTGTCTTCATTTTATTTCATCTATTCAGGATTTGAAAATTAGCACTGTCTCCTTTATTTATTTACCTATGAAACACGAATCGTAGTCATCCAATGTTGTTTATATGTTTTAGGACAAGTGGCGTAATTTAAGTGTTGCCCCTGGCATTCAAGGCTCTAAGGATAAGATAAGGACACCAAAAATCAAAGCTGCTGCTTTTCATCTGGCTACCGCTGCAGCTGCCGCTACTCTACCTCCTACTGTTCTCCCTTCTCCAATTGTTACTCTTATCCGTAGTGTATCTTCTGATTTGAGCATTGATGAAAGTTGTAACATTGTGGTTGATGCAAAGAATGCTCCCAGGTTTGTTTTCTTTACTTTCATCTTCTCCGAGCCAATACTTAATCCTGTGCCGATTCATAAGTGATGTAAATTACTAGTCTACTTGTATTGTGACGCTTCTGATGAGCCATTATTTTGTGAAGATATGATGGAATGATATTTGAAGCTCTTTCAACCTTGACGGATGTTAATGGATCTGATGTCAGTGCAATTTTCAACTTCATTGAGGTTAGTCATATTTCGGCGTGCTCTTTATCCTGCATTTGTCAAACACTGATCTATTTTTCAAGCTGCTTATTGAGTTATGCTGAAAGCATAGTGAAGTCAATCTAATGAGCAATAGAAACGCCAATCTTATCTTGAGTTCTGAACAAACTACCCAATCATTGTACCATTTAAAGATGAGAATGAAGCATTGGTTTTGGCAACTTTGTTGATCAATAGGTTTAAATTACTTGAGTCATATCTATTCATCTGTCTTAACGTCTTCTCTGTCAATTAGAGTTATCAATGTATACTATTCAACCGCCTTTGCTGTTATCCTTGTTATTGCATAGAAGCCCACTATGATTCTCTGAAAAATTACTATAGAGCTCTATTAGGTTTAGAATCTGTTATCGTTGTAGCAGCTAATCTGTAATGAAAAAGTTCATTACGTAACGTTCCAATAATGCACTGGTATGCGTATAGCAGCAACGACATGAAGTGCCACTAAATTTCAGAAGGATTCTTAGTTCAAGATTGAGGAGGCTTGCTGCTCAGGGAAAACTTGAAAAGGTTAGCCACTTAAAATCAGTAAGTCTTAAAAGCCTTGCTTGAACAAGTGCGCAATCTTTCTTGGTTGGTGTTGTTTCCTCATTCCTGCATTTTTTTTTTTTTGGTATCTTTTGGTTCTTCAAAAATGCAACAATACACACAACAGACGCAGAACTTCTATAAGATGAATGACAATAGCTTGGTACCAAGAACACCACTTGTAGCGAGACCAAAAGAGACGAACGTGAAACCCCGGCAGACAAACAGTCAAGGACCCTCTGTTTCACAGGAGATGGTTGGTGAAGCTTCAATAACGGCAGCTTATAAGCTGGTGGAAGTAGAGAACAAACTAGATGTGGTCAAAGGATCGTCAGAAGAGATACAGAGAATGGTGAATTTGGCAAAACATGCTGAGAATATGCTAGCGATAGCAAGAGAAATGCACGAAGAATGTAAATACACTAAAAGAACCCTGACACTATTCTTCTTCCATGTCAAAAATTTGGGTGTCTAACATTGTTAAGATTTGTTCTGTTGCTGCAGGTTGTCAGGGAAAGATAATGTTGCTGAATTGAGGATGATGGAACAAAAGAAGCAGCACAGTATCTTTTGGAGTTTCATCAGACTCGCTTGGTGTTGGTATATATACTAATAGTAATAGGCTATTAGCTTTTTGCATTTATCTTTCTTCCAATGTTTTCATATGATACCAACTTAGGAATTGTTTGGACAAAAGTAACACTAACTTTCTTTCATTTTCATTTCATCATAAAAAGTAGGTAGTTGCGTAATTATCCGAAACATAAAAGTTCTGGTGTGGTTGAAAAGGTTCGTAGTAAAAACTTTTTTGTATTGTATGCTTTTGGAAACTAGCTTGAAAAAGGTTTAAGGACTTTGAATCTTTGATAGTCGTAAACTAACCAAGAATCAGTTGGCAAAGAACTTGCTCGAATTCACCCATTATGTAGAGATTTTAACTAAAGTTTGGTTTATGTTTTATGATCGCGTTTACGAGAGATTAGTTGAGCTTACAATTTCGCATTATATTAAAGAAAGGGACTAAAAGAAAAAAAAAATGTATATGACGTATACGACGCCGTCCCAACTCTTGAGCGTCACGTAAAATTAAAATCATCTTAAACTAAAGATTAGATAGATTAACCCTCCTTGTCTTGCGGTAGATATTTTTAGTATTAACCGATACAGTTTGGGAAAGTCTAGTACATGAATGAATGTATTTGAATTTATAATTACATTATTTCGGTATATGTCTTATGGATTTCAGATTGATATTTTATAATTGAATTGGGTAAAAATTGGTACAGAAGAAACATTAGGGGGGTTAAATCGAACCGAATAAAAAGAGCGTCGGGTTTTAAGAAACGGAGATCTGAAAAGTGATTATTACAGAGAGGAAGGAGATAGAGATTAGAGAGTCCCAACAGTGCGTGCTTGTCAATGGCGATCAAAGCGGGAAAGGTTTTGAGAACGGCTACTGCTGCGGCGAGGAAGTTCCAACAGAAACAGTTCTCAGCCACATCGTCGGCGTCTACAACCACACCAAATGTTTCCCCATCTTCCGGTGTAGGAACATTTCTTGGTTTTCCCAAGCTTCCTCGATCGGAATCTGATTTATTGATCTCCAAGTACATCAGACTCTACCAGGTATACATAATCTGAACAACATCAATTGTGCCATTTGTTTACGAATAATAATAGCCCACCACCTGTTCGATGAAATCTCTCACAGAGCGATGCCTTTGGTGACTTATTGTTTCTCTAGGGACGATTGACGAAGAAAGGTGATTTCACAGAGGAGAAGCTAACGAAGATGTTGTCTGGTGAAGACAAGATTGGAATTGGTGAGACGATGAAGTTGCTAGAGGGCCGCAAAACTGGTTTTGAATCTTCTAAAACACCAAACAACAACAAGCCCAAAGCCATTAAATAGTTCCTATGTTTCATCTCAGTTGTAACGACCCTGAAGCTTCAAAGTCTTTTTTTTTTGCATTCTTAGTTTGTTTTTGTTGGATTTCAACGAGTTTCTGCCTAAATCACAAAATAATAAATCCAAAAGATCAATTTTTATTATATGGTCTTTCTGGTCTGCATCAGTAACAGCAATCAAGAACCATGAGAAAATATGTTCGTCAGTCACAAATAGATACTTTTTTGGTTGGTGTTGCAATCTGTCCTAAGTATACACAAAAAAAATCTATGTATAGTTACTGTTTCTGATACAACAACAAGAACCCCCAAACATCAGTCAGCTACTTTCACAAGCTCACGCTATATAATACCTCCTTTTTTTTTCTTCCATGTCATACACACAACTGCATCAAGAGAACTATCTCCAGTCTGAAATCAAAATCCAGAGCCTACCTCCATCGATGAACCTGATACTGTTTCTACAGGTTGGAAATCTTAACGTATAATTAACCTTCAAGAGAGGAAGCTCCCAGAAGCTATACTGATCTTGGGGACATTGTATCTTGAGCTGAAAAATTTGACATATTTGACTGTTTCTTATTGAGCTTTGACCTTAGATGTCTGATTTTTGCGTCAACTCTAGCTGTGAATCCAATCTTTGTCTTCTCCCGTGCTTTGGAACGCTCTCGTGTCCACATTCTTCTATCCTCTACATCTCTCTTGTAGTATTTGATCTCTTGAATGAGGTGATGATCCAACGGATATAAGAATCTTTGAAAGGATATGTGGGCAAAGTAAGGGAGGACTGTGGTCACTGTAACCAAAAATGTGGTAACCCAATATATGGGTGCAGGAGCAAGTATCTCAACTAGAATTCTGTAGATGTTGCCTGAAAGACTTGGAGGCATCATCCCGTAGAGCGCTACAAAAAGATACCACAAACCGATGCTTCCCCAGATCAAGACGTGCTGAATCCAAGTAAAGTGACTCATCGTCAAAGCGATTTGCACATTCACAGCCCAAATAATGCAAGTAAACATGGTAGTACCAACAGCATCCATGTCAGCAGTTTGGCCACTGACTCTGAAAGCTTGCTCATAAATGACTCCAATGTTGAGGAAGAATATAACGAGGGAGGAGTACACACCATTTCCCATCCACCCGAGTATTCTATACCAATCAAAGAAGAGATTTTTCTTCCCTTGTTGGTATAACGCAGGAAACTGCAGAGCAAAGAAGAATTCTTTTGTGGTGAGTGAGATATTCATAGAAGTTTAAGGTTTGTATTCTCACAGCAGCTTATTTGAATCTAACCTGTAAGCAGATTTCCGAGGAAACATCTTGTTCAAAGACTCCAAGGGCAATCACTGGCAATGAAGTAAGGACGACATTGAAGAGTAATAGGTAGTAGTCATTATACACTGATTGCCCAGAAAACCCAGTGAAAGCCTCAAAATAGAAGAGAGTCAGACCAAATGCTATGTTCTTGTAGAAGAAATAGCAGATCTGGATACAGAACAATATATGTTAGAAACTAAAAGAGTAAAATATGATGCATTAGAATTAGAAGACATCTTGTAAACCCGTATACCATTTGAGCTATTCTTTTGTAGCACCAGTGTCCATGGACGACGAGCAATCTTTCAAGAAACCGGAACTGGGCAATGGAAAAATCACTTGCCATAACAGCCTGCAAACGAATGATAATCAGCAAAAAAATGCAGATGTGGGATATCATTGTACATTTGCTACAAGTTGGGACTCTAAAAAATACATTCTAGTGAGACTACACTAACCTGCATTCCTTCAACCCCACTAATACCGACACCAATATCAGCTTCTTGAATCATTCCAACATCATTTGCACCATCACCTATTGCCAATGTGGTTTTCCCGGTTCCCTCTTTAACTAACCTCGTTACCTTGTTTTGGAAAAATTTGAAACAAATATAATTAAAAGGAAACTCATAATGCTAATGTCTTCAGATACATGACATAAGAGAAGGGGGGAAATACCAAAGCTTTCTGCTTAGGAGACACACGACAGCAAATAACTGACGCACAATCGACCGCCAAAGCAAGAAACTGATACTTCATCTCATCCTCCAACGCATACGTTAGGGTTTTCCCGTCAATGATCAAAGCAAATGCAGCGTGTGGATCTTTCTCCAGCTTCACCATTTGTACAGCTTTTGTGATTTGATTCAAAATATTCTCCTTCACAGCCTGATTACATCAAAAGACATATTAATTGAAACTTTAAATTGTAGGTCCTTATGCTTAAGAAAGGGAAATGATTTTAGCCTCATATTACTTTTGCATCTTGAGATCCTCCTTCTGAGTTCATCACAGTTATACATATCTGTTTCATGCCTTGCCGAAGTAGACTACACGAATATCTGCAGTTCAAAACATAAAAAGTAAGTTAATGATAGAACTTCAAAGATAAATTTGCTTCAAGGTATTGTAGTTGTTCTAACCCGATGTTGATTGCTGTTTCCATCTTATCCCCAGTTAAAACCCATAATTTGAGGCCAGCTTGGGCAAGTTTATCTATGCATTGGGGCACCTAATTCAAGAGAAAAAGTAAACTCAATTTTACATAAACAAGATGAAGAAGGTGGAACTAAAGTGTCGTGTCTGATATATATATATATATATATACCCCTTTCTGGAGTTTGTCCTCCACAGCAGTTGCACCTATAAGAATAAGGTCTTTTTCGATCATATCCGATATCCTCTCAAGCAACTCATCTCTATCAGATCCTATAGAAGTTTTGGCCTTGTGAAACTCAGCGTTCCAAGCTGAATACTCATCCTCGTCAAGCTTTCTATATGAAAGTGCAAGAGTACGGAGTCCTGCTTCTCCATATTCATTTAAATGCTTAGTGGTAGGCCCCAAGTATGTCTTCCCATTCTTGGCCAGTCGCTCAAATATGATACTGGAAAAAATTTAATAAGAACTGTTTCAATATACATGAAGGTATAAAAACCAAACGGACTATATCTTTCTAGCTTTTCGTCTAACCTGTCAGCTCCTTTGCATAGCAGAAGAATCTGCCCTTCCTCGTCACGTACAACTACTGACATTCGCTTTCGTTTGCTAGTGAAATCCAACAAATTCAGGACTTTATACTCCCTGCATTGTTCTGGTACACATTCAGGATGGGTGTTTAAAACCAATAATCAAAGAATTAAGAATAGATATCTACGAAGTCTCACCTTTCAGTAGTTTGCCCTGACGAAGATAACCTTTCATGAACATAAACGCTTGATTGGGTTCTCTTAAAGAACTCAAAACCAAACTCACTAGCAGCAGTAAGAAAAGAAGCTTCATCTGGTGACTCTGCTTCATAAGTGTACTTGCCAGTCTCCTCGTTAAGCTCGGGAATAGCTGTGTGACAAATAGCTAATATGTGAAAGAACAGCAAAATGTCATTTGTATGTGGCTCTCTCAACCAATTCCCATCCATTAGCCGGATATCCTCAAAACCAAACCCCTTTATAGGAATTCTATGATTATGCTCAGCTTGATGATTAATGCTACTTTCTAACTCAATTTCTTGAGCCTGGGCCCTTGGAGTACTTAACCTACTGGATACTTCTCCGTGATCATCAAGATCAACAGCCATCTGCTGTGCAGCAGCAACTTCGACTTCACTGGAACGTACTCCATAAGAAGTGCCAGCAATTGAGCATTTCAGAAAATCCATCTGATTACAAGTCAAAGTTCCCGTTTTATCAGAAAGGATAGTATCCACTTGTCCTAGCTCTTCATTTAGATTCGATGTCCGTGCGTGTGCTGGAACACCACTCTCACTATCATACATATGTAAATCTTTATTGATGAAAGATGCCTGCAACACTTTCACAACCTCAATGGAGACATAAAGAGAGATTGGTATCAAATATCCGTAGAGCAACAGAGCAGTGATCAGATGGACAACTCCAGCATAAACAGGATTGATTGGATTGGTTAAGTTCTCAGGCTCCTCGGGTCTTAAGTACCACCATTTAGGCATGTGAAACTTTGTCTCCCAAGCAAATCCCGATGAACTTATGCAAGAGATCAAAATAAGTAGGACGAGAAGCGTGTAGATGATATAATCCATTGTCTTTTCTATTCTGCTCCTTTTTGAAGGCGACTTTGTTGAGTTCTGCATCACCTTAGTATCATGCCCTGTGAATACCACCACTCCATAAACGTAAGGTGTATTCCTGAGCTTTGAATCTCTCAACAAAATCTGACTTGGATCCAGTGGAAATATCTGCCGCTCATACTCAAGATTGCCAACAAATGTGTAAAGATTTGGGTTTGGATCTTCGCATCTTATTATCCCCGTGAAATTCTTAAAAGATTCGTCGTCATCCAGCGATAATGTTGCTTCCAAGGACCTTTTCACTTTCAAGTTGGTCTCGCCATCTAAATTCATAGTCTCTACATAACAAATGCCATCCTCATAACTGGAGGATAACAAGAGCAAATCAGCAGGGAAGAAGCCGTCTTTCTCCACTTTTACAATATCCCCAACACTAATCTTCTTCCACTTTCTTCGACGGAACTCGCCATCGCGTTTATGAACATAAGCTTTCCGTGCATTGATCTTGACATCTTGCATAAACCTACTCCAGTCTTCAAGAGCCTCCTTTAACATACTGAGGCCAACAACAAACACCAATGGAGCAATCATGCTCCATTTGTTGAAGGGCGAAAGAGGGAAGACGGAAAGGATCGCAGCTACCAAGAAGTAGAAATTGGCAGCACGGTGAAACTGTTCGTAGAGGGACTTGGGAAAGAAAGTGATCATATTGTACCTGGTGGTAGAGACATAGTTAGAGCGGTATCTCAAAGGTTTCTTCTTGTGCATATGAGGCTGATTACAGTGCACAGTCCTGCTAAATCCTGGACCTTGGATTGGGTGAGGATCTTGACCCTCATCTGCAGTTGGCCTAAGACATCCAAATGTGTATATATGGCTCAGTCTCAGCTTAGACCTTCTTCTACCTCTAGCCATTCCCTAAAGAACTTCAACTCAAGAACAAATACAGAATGTTTATCAAGAATTCTTCTTCTTCATCAAGCTTCTCAATTGTGCTCAATGTCTCATATCCCGAGTAAATGTAGGTCTGCACAGAAGATTGAAACCCAATACACACAATTA